GTCTTTTTCACGGTAATGACACACGCCTCGAACCGGCTCTTTATCTGGCACGTCCCTTTTTGCTCGACACAGGCATCGCTTCAAATGTTACATCACTACAAATAACTTCATTTCTGGACATTTATGGTTTGATTTCTTTGTATGTATGGATCACTTGGGTTGTTACCAACATCTGGTGAAAATTTCATGTCATTAGCACCTCTAGTAATATATTTACTGAGAAAAATGGTGACATATTCAATACTTATTTTACCCGCTGTATGTTTTGTTCATTTTAGCTATCATTCTTGCTACAATGAGCATTTAGCTAGTCTTTAGCAACTAGTTTTAGCTAGCGTTTGGTAYTTTTGGTTTTTTCCTACTTTAGCTATAGCATTTTGCTACTTTTTTAAAAATAACTTTTTGTTATTTATTTACTATACCTAACATTTTTCTTTCTTTACCTGGCATGTTGTATACTTATAGCTTTTAGCTAAAGTTTAACTACTTTTGATTAGTATTTTGGTTTTAGCTTTTAGCCAGTCCATTGCTAATTTGAACTAGCTTTTTGGCTTCTTTTTATTTTAGGTCATTTTAGTGCTTTTAGGTTTAAACTAATCTTTTGTTGACTTCAGTTTTTAGTTAGCCTTTTGCTACTTTTAGAATTTGCCTATATCATTTTTCATTTATTTTGCTTCTAGGTTGTTTCTTTATCTTTTCGCTATTTTACTTTTCTAACTAACATTTGGCGTGTTTTAGTGTTTTGCTTCTTAAGCTTTTTGCTGCTTTTTACCTTTAGTTACCTGTCTGATAGCTTTTCGCTGCCTTCAGCTTTTAGCTAGCCTTTTGCTACTTTAGCATTTGCCTAACCTTTGTCTTTGATTTAGGATGTAGCTATTTTAGCTTTTAGCTGGCACGCTCTTTTAAGTAATGTGCTCTGTTTAGTTGGTGTTTTTCTTATTTTAGCTTTTAGCTAATGTTCTGCTGTTACAACCTCATGATTCTCTGCTTTTCCTGTAGTTCCCAATTTCATTGTAACATGAAAATACAACTGGAGCGTTATTGAAATGAAAATAAACATGCTTATTTGCTTCAAGTGTTTGTTTTGTTTCAGTCTGTTTAATGCATCTGAATTGTACAGTGTAAAAGTAAAAGTCTACTGCATTTACCAGTCCGCATTAGAAAAAGAAGAATTACTGCAAACAGTAAATTAAAACAAACTGTCTGCTGGGGCAGCATAAAAAGTGTTGACATTTTCATTGTGTTAATGTACACCAGAGAGAGCTTGTAATCTTTTCATTCTCTATAATGTCATAAAAACACAAATCAATGTCTTTAATGTCTGCCTTTTACAGAAGTCAGGAAATGTGCCATGATTTACATCCGGTCGGATGTAACCCTGTGGGCACTTCCAATTGATTAACGGGACACGCTCTGAATTAATAGATTTACTCTCGTCACTTAGACTCTTTGTTGTTATTTATTAATGTGCTTCGGAAAGCATTTAACTTTTCTTAAGCCTCAAGTGACATAAAGCTCTAATCAATAAAACCATGTCAGTTATGAGACTTTTCCCAGATTTGTTTTAWTATTTTGAGACTTTAGATGAGTGGCACAATAGCAATCATACAAAAAATTTGGGCAACAAAGCTTACTAAACTTAAGCTCAGTTAAAACAAAAGTTTCTTTAAAGTAAATCAAAGCAGCTTTAGGATTTTGATTTTTAAACCTTTGTGAGATTTTATATGGAAAATCCAAGGCTTACCTGAAAAATTTATTGTTTGTTTGTTGGTTGGTTTTTCACATTCATCGGCCACAGTTAATAAATGTGTTTGGTTCGCTGATGCGTTTGGAAGGATTTATTTTACAAAGTTTATATTTTGTAGCTGTTCAAAAACTTTTGACCATTTCAGCTTCTTAAATTATTCAAATTGTGTTCATTCGTATTTTTTTTCCCCTGATCTGTCTGCCTGTCATCTGCTGTCTGCATTTTCAGCCAGCAATAACCAACAAGCGTTACGACTAAACTATCAATCAGAGGATTAAAAAAAGAAGAAAAAAAAACACTAAAAGTCAAAGCTGGAATGTCTTAAATTTTCTCTTAATTTGCAACCACTCTTTAAATCTGATTTGTTTTCTTTTTTTTTCTCCCTCCTGCAGAAAAACAAACTTTGATAGAAAAAGTTCTTTCTGCAATCATCACAATTTAAATGGAAAATGCAATTTCAGATAAAGAAGCAATAGGAGTTTCTTTTCCAGCCAATTCCAGTTACACTGTGCAGTGTTCAGGGAGGGACTGAAATCCTTGGAAAGTTAATATTCTAAAGTAAAACAAACAATGTAAAATCTGAACCCTTTAGGCTAACCCTCCTCAAATAAATGATAGTATTAATAGGCACTGCCTTGTCAGTGAGGTGTAAAAAAAAAAACGCTTGTTGCAACTATGTATTTGTTAGGTTGTCTTTGTTTGTCTGTTAGCAAAATATCTCCTGAATCACTGGAATGTTTTTTTTATGGTCTCCCTTCTCCCCTTATAGCAATCCTGTCCACACCATTATGTTGTTTTTTTTTTTTGTGAAGAGAAAATAGAGAGAAAGAAAAAAACAGAGAGAGAAGTACAGTAATTAGAAAGATATAAAGACTGAAATAGCGATTAGGAGTATATTAAATATACACCAACAAAACACAGGAACACACACAACATCTGTCCGCTCACCTGAAAAATAAATGGATAAATACATGGAGGGCATGTATAAAAATACACACATTCCCATACATATATAAAGATATACATACATACATGCCTACATTCATACATATTGTCAGTATATACACACTCAGTGACCTGTCAGAACCCCCCGGATCAGAGCACCTGTTTGTGAGCAGTTGTGAACATGTGTGTATATACAA